CATATCAACAATTATTTTTCTGATTTTAGCCCTGAGTCAGAATACTTATTTTGAATAGTCATTTTATTTAATTATAATACATTTATATCTAACGAATATACATATTTCTCGTAACAAAGAGTATTAAATCTTCGTAAAAGCGTGTAAAAAAAAAAAAAAATAAATCTATGGAAGATTATTATCTTATTTTAATACGAAAATATTTTTCTTGTTGGCCACAAAATGTCTGGCTATTTCTCACAGATTCTGCGAAATCGTAGGAACTACTAAAAAATTCAACAAAACGATAATATCGTTCGAAGTCGTGAGAATTAACAATTTTTCTGGCGCAACAAAGAGAGCTCAACAAATAAAAAAAAAAAAACAGAAAAAAGATAAATAACACCTTGTTTTTGAAAGCATGAATGCGTAAATAATCATTCGTAACTTCTGCATGAATTATTCGTAACTTCCAGAATAAATTGAAGAAATTGAATAAACGTCTGAAATATTTCCAGCATGAGACCATCCTTGCGCATACGTGTAATTCGTACAAGTTACGGATTAGAAATATAGGGAGTTTAGTCATTCTCGTTTCCTGATTAATATCCCTGTATTGGAACTAACTTACATATTACACATCCCATCACACCCCATTATAGCACACTACGACGAATTCAAAAAGATTTATAACGAACCGGTCACTTTCGATGTTACTACGAAACATAGACAAAGAAGAAACTTGCAGCAACGGATATTGCGTAACTCAATTGTCGGGATGTCTGTCGCGAATCTTATCGATAAGCATGGTCGTCCCTGGGATGGCAATCTTCTCGGGCTCTGCTCTCTTTGCATTTCTCGGTTGGATTTTCAGCCAGAACCCGTTCTCCGACACCATGGTGAATCCTTTCCTGTCCAGTTTCAACGGTATGGAAGATTTGGCGCATGGTGCGAGGTCGCACTTGGCCAATACGTAGAAGAGCAAAACTTTCGCTTCTAATAGGGCGAACCTGTTGCCGATGCACATTCTGGGTCCCATTCCAAACGAGAGGAACGAGGGAGAGTTGGACATCTGTTTCGGATCGTCGTAGAATCTGTCGGGATTGAATTTCTTCGGCTCCGGGTAGTACTGCGGATCGTGTTGTATGCCATAAATTGGTATCCACATGCTGTCGTTAGGTTGCATGACGTACGGCTTCGCTCCCGGCACGCGTGGCGGCAATTCGAACGGTTTCACGCACACTCTGTCGCTAATGACCGTCGGCGGGTACATCCGAAGACTCTCGAGAATGACAGCATCCAGATACTTCATGTCGTTGACAGCATCGTACGTGACCTGGCCGTTGCAATCCTCCAATACCTGGTCGATCTCGTCTTGCAATCTTTTCTGTATCTGTACGTTGATGCCGATCTCGTAAGCGGCGAAACACATGAGAGCTGATGTACTCTCGAATCCACCGAAGAAGAAAATGAATGCCTGGGCGGTCATGTCGTCGATGGTCAGCTCTTTGCCTGGTCCCAATTTCCCTCTGGTCTCCATCATCAGCTGAATCATGTCTGGACGAACGATACCGTTCTCGTCTCGGACCTTTATCGTCCTCGCTATCAACTCATTGAAGAAGTCGACGATTTTCTGCTTGAATACCTTGATACCGAGCAATCGACATAACCACGGAAACTTTCTCACCGCGAAAAACCTGAGGGTTTGCGCTCTTCCAAAGCTGGTTGCCTCTCTGCCGTACACATAGAACGTGTTTTTCGGATCCTTCATCGAGTTGACGTCAATGCCGAACGCGCAAGTGGCGATCACGTCGTTGGTGTACTTGGTGAACGCGTTTTTCAATTCGAGCTCTTTCGACTGATCGGCATGCAAGGATGCGAAATAATCGCCGTACTCTTGAGCACAATTACGCATCAACACGAACATGTATTTCATCTTGCTAGACGTGAAGGCCGGTGTCAACATATTCCGTATTTCCCTCCATCTTTCGTCGCGCAGAGAAAAGAGGTTCTTCGAGAAGAGAGTCTCCACGTCCGGCTGGAAAGCCATTCTATGATTTGGAAAGTGGTCGAAATTCTTCACGGTGATGGACTTGATCAAGTCGAGGTCCCGAATCACGAGCACGGGCTTTTCAAAATCGAAGAAGCCCACGTACTTTGACTCCGGATCCAAATTGTAAATCTTTTCTGTGGCATCGGCATTCGACAATCGCTGAAGGATTACCTCCCACATGCTTCCCAAAAACGGCATCGGTTTGGCGTACGGAATCCCACGTTTCTTGAAGAAGTCCAAATTACGAGTAGCTCGATAGTAGGCGACTGCTAGCACGGCCAACACAGCCGCGATTATCGCCCACCAGCCCATTTTCAGATGCCTTCTAACAGGTATTCACCATCTACTAGATCAACGTTAGTCTCTTTTCTTCCTTCGAACGATCTCGCTCACTTTCCAGAAAGGAGATGGAAATCCACTAGTTTCGGGATGATGGATAATTACAGGAAACGATCACCGACTATGTTCGATCTGTTAATAAAGAGAAACGGCAGAGTATAACGCTGAGAGTATAGCAGCAGCTGTGAACGCTCTTGAGCCAATGTGCTTGCTATGAAGACGCAGTTCGATGACGATTACGTTAATGCGCGGCGCCACGTTCGCCAAGCTGGCAATGAAAGACTATCGTACTATTCGCGCGATGATTGTGTCAACAGTATTGTTTATAACGAATCTTATCTGTAGATAACAGGTAAGTTGCTCTTATAGTATCTTTTGAATGGTAGAAGAGTGGCTTGTCGCTCAAACAGCTGTGCCATTGTGTCACTTTGGCTACTATTTTATCTGTCATTTAATAGATGGATAAATGTACTGTCCTTGAACATACACGCTTGCATGTATGTACGTACATACGTGTGTTTGCATATATACGTATTTGGAAAATGTTCTGTGGTTGCAGATATGCGAGAATATTATAATTGAAACAGTCGCGGCAAAAAAATTGCGTATTATTCTCAGCTAATGTTTGACGTTTCCTGCGCTTTATTTCCAACTTTCCTGGTTTCCCTTTTGCAGTGAATTATCATATAACATGTGAAATCTTATAGATTTCGTGAATACGCGAAAATTCATCGAGAAATAATTAAACGATGGACGTTTCCGCGAGTCTGTCTTTTTAGCGGCGATTCTTTTTAATTCAAAAATTCACAACGTCTAGCTCGAATTCTACTTTCAAACGTCTATTCGTGCACGCTTGCGTATATTTACTGACTTGATCACGCAGCTCTATGGATGATACGTAACCAGAATCTATTTTTTATGGTGAGAAATACCTTCCTGAGCTTCAGTTCTATAGGCATCTTGGAATCGACAGCGAGCAAAAATAAGAAACAACGCGATTCTAGTCTCGATCAGCGTTAATTTTTTGCCAATACAAGTCCAAATGGCAGATATGTTCCGTTATTAATCAAATTACTTCTTTTACCCAAAAATCGATCCGATTCGAAGCAGTCAGATATTTCGAAATATCTTGGGTCGCGTTGGATCGCGTAGATCGACAAGCACAGATGGTGAGCGACGCTCCATCACGTACGATTCGGTTCCTCGCAGAAATGGCGGTAACTCGTACTCACCAAATTCTTGAAGAAACACATCGTCTTGCCGCTCAACAAAGTTACTATTATGTATGAGTCGTCCTAAAATACTTTGATTAGATATCAGAAGTACGAATAGAAAAGTATCCACAGACAGAATATATAAGGTGTCCACAAAGTCTCTTTACAATTTAAAAAATTTATTAAAAAGGCAAATGAAAAGACAGATAAATAGAAATTATTGCAAAATGAGACGTATATATTTCAGTTCTTTTCCTTATTCCTCTCCTTATAATATACCTTTATATGGGCACCAATTAGTTGCACCAAGCACATCAAACGGTACTCGATTTCTTATACGATCGATGTTTTTTTCAAATGTTCTTGGTCGTTCACTCTTCCCTTTGTCGAACACTGTCCCTGTTTAATAAACTTCCTGTGCCATGCACGAATTGATGGACGTGACGGTGGATATCTTCCACACTTGGTTCTGAAGTTTCGCTAAGTCTGCAGATCCGATTTGGTTTCAATAAACCGATACACACTGTGCCTTCTCTTGAGGAGTAGCCATTTTGTAAGAGGTTTAACAGTATCTTATTCATCAACAGGGTACCTGAAATGCAATGTGAAAACCTCGATAACCACTGAGTATATGGAACAAATCTGATGACGATATTTCATCAATTGCCTTTGTAATAAATTTTTGAAATTGTAAATAGACTTATGGACTCCCTGTAGTTTAGTATAGCAGCAAGTATAAGCCAGTATTGTGACGTTTCTATATTTATATGTTCCGGAGTGAAAGTCTTGTTTTGTTCAAATAAATAGTTCTGCAAAGTTTTAAAGTATAATTTTCAATTACACCCTAACAACGTAACAACGTTCGACGAAAGTCCATTTTTCGTACTTGTACACGTATATGCTAGAGTAAAGTGTCACTGACAACGTTCGTTTAAACTTTAGTTACCAAAACATGAAATCTCGTTTCAGTGAGAACTGTTTAAAGGCCAAAAATCTCCGACTGTTCGATCGTTTCATTTCAATAAAAAATCGAAACCACATCGATGACAATATCAATGACATTGCTATGAAAACTACTTGTAAATTTCCTTACATTTGTATAACCTGCATAGAATATATATGTCTATGTATGTATATATGTACGTTGTTGGTCGTCGCGTGTCAACGATCATGCAAAGAAGGCGATAGTAAGAAAGAAACAATAATTATTGTCTAGTGACACACGTTGGTAACAAATACATTATCGCATATTATGTTTCAAAAGATACATACGTTTCGTAATCAAATAATGACTTGATTTTGCTACTATGCATATCAGAGCTGGCTAACTGGCGGCTCACTGTATTGAAATTTCCTCGCTGTGCATGAGCCTCACTTCCTTAGTCTGATTTCCCTACTAATTGTAAGCAAGTGGAGAAATCGACGCAGAAGGTAATCTTTAGCGATTAGGAAAACACGGGTAAGGGCTCCCCAGCCGCTAGTTGACTGGCTGTAAGTTAGAGTGTGCCAAATTCTATAAGGAAAAATTTACCACTGATTATCATTTTAATCATTTACCACAAAAAATTGCAAAAATTTCAATATGAATTTGAAATTTGAATTTGAATTTAAAATTAGAAGTTTAAATTTGAATTTTAAATTTTGAATTTCGAATTTTGAATTTTAAATTTTCAGCTCTGAATTTTCAATTATGAGTTCTGAGCTCTGAGTTTCGAGTTTTGAGTTTTGAATCTTGAGTTTTGAATCTCGAATCTTAAATCTTAAATTTTGTATTAAAAATTTCGAATTTCGAATCTTCAGTTTTAAATTTTGAATGTTGAATTTTAAATTTCGTATCTCGAATCTCGAATTTTGCATTTCGAATATCGAACCTTGAACCTCGAACTTTGAACTTTGAACTTTGAACTTTGAACCTCGAACCTCGAACCTCGAACCCCGAACCCCGAACCCCGAACCCCGAACCTCGAACTTCGAACTTTGAACTTTGAATCTAACACAAACCTTGAACCTTGAACCTTGAACCTTGAACCTTGAACCTTGAATTTTGAATTTTGAATTATTTCATATTGTTACACGTGTATAACCGATTTGCATCGGACCTAGCTTCCGAGATGATTCGGGAAACGCTGCCACTAGAAGTGCATCGAGTTCTGTCCATTTATGACACATTCCCAAGCACAGCTGACACGTTTTTCTTGCATATCACATACATCATATATAAATAAAATATATGTTATATCGTATCCAGCTGCTGGACACACACTAACGCACACGTTGCTAGGGGCTACCATTGTAGGCAAATTTCAATGTAGTGGTGCCAACAGAAGTTTATTGACAAGCTTCTTGAAAACTAATATATAATACAAGGAAAGGCTGCTCAAAATGTTTATTTCTACGTATATTCTTCAGAAATCATCGAAATCTGAGGTTTTCTGCAAATTCGTCCATTTATTCAATGGAAGGACCCATGCGAACAAATCATTGCCCAAATATCACAATAAATCAGAAAAACAATAGAAAAGATTGGAAAGTATTTTACAAAAAGTATAAGTAAAATGTCAATCAAGAGAAGAATTTTCATCTCGTTAATATTGAGGAAGAACAACCGTACAAATATATTATGCACATACCTCTACTCTGTGTCAGTAAAGATATCTCAGAATTAAAAGGCAGTTGTTATTGCAATTTGTTTCATTATTTCTGAAAAATATACAAAACACTGTTATCCTCTTCGGGGTCGATAACAATTAGACACAAGGATTCAATAGGGATTATGACTGTATGATTATTTTTTGCAGTTTAACAAAGTAAGTATATTTATTTCGTATAGTCATTTTATTTAACTGTAACAAATCAACATCTAACGGATATACGCAATTATCGTAATAAAAAATATATTAAATCTTCGTAAAAACGTGTGGCAAAAAGAAATCTGCAAAAGATCATTTAATTTTAATATGAAAATATTATTTTCTCTTTATCAGAAAATTCACGGCTATTTCCAATATATATTCTGCGAAACCAGATCACAGGAATCGACAAAAAATTCTTCGATAATATTGTTTAAAGTGGTGAATGCTAAGAATTTTCCTGGCGGAACAAAAATCAATATAAAAAAGAAAGAAAGATAAATTCCACATTGTTGCTGAAAACATCGATGCGCGTATAATCGTTTGTAACTTGTACATTTTGACTAAATCCAGAAAATTGACTAAATGCCCGACATGATTCCAACGGGAACAAATCTTTGCAAATACGCGTAAATTGTACATTTTACGGGAACGGAACAGTCTCACTTCCTGCTTACTGTATAAAATCATTATATTACACCTAATAGACATCGCAACTGCATTACATTTTACGTATATCACACCCCTTATTACAGCATACTACAATTCATCGTAAAAAGGTTTAAAACAAATCAATCATAGACTCGCTTTCAACGTCGCTGCTACGAAGAAATGTATCCCTGGACAGACGAAGCAGTTACAGCAATGGATATTGCAAGCATCATGTTTGTTGCAATGGAACTTAATTGTCGGGATGTCTGTCGAAAAACTTTTTGAAGAACATGAATGACAATCTTCTACGGCTCTAGAATGATCTCTAGAGTGACAATCTTCTACGGCTCCGCTTTCTTTGCGTTTCTCGGTTGAATTTTCAGCCAGAAGCCGTTCTCCGGCATCATGGCGAATGTTTTCCTATTCAGTTTCAACGGTATGGAGGATTTGGTGCATGGTGCGAGGTTACACTTGGCGAAAAGGAAGAAGAGCAAAACTTTCGCTTCTAATATGGCGAACCTGTTGCCGATGCACATCCTGGGGCCCACTCCAAACGAGAGAAACGAGATAGAGTTGGCCATCTGCTTTGGATCGTCGTAGAACCTGTCGGGATTGAATTTCTTCGGCTCCGGGTAGTATTGCGGATCGTGTTGAATGCCATAGATCGGTATCCACACGTTGTCGTTTCGTTGCACGACGTACGGCTTTGCTCCCGGCACGCGTGGCGGCAATTCGAACGGTTTCACGCAGACTCTGTCGCTGCCGACAACCGCTGGGTACATCCGAAGACTCTCGAGGATGACAGCCTCCAGGTACTTCATGCCGTTGATAGCTTCGTATGTGACCTGGCCTTTACAATCCTTCAAAACCTGGTCGATCTCTTCTTGCAACCTTTTCTGTACCTGGTCGTTGATGCCGACTTCGTAAGCGGCGAAGCACATGAGAGTGGCGGTGCTCTCGAATCCACCGAAGAAGAAAACGAACGCCTGGGCTACTATGTCATCGATGGACAACTCTTTGCCTGGCCCCAATTTCCCTCTGGTCTCCATTATCAGCTGAAGCATGTCTGGACGAACGATACCGTTCTCGTCCCGCGCCTTCATCGTGCTGACTACCAATTCCGTGAAAAAGTCGACGATCTTCTGTTTAATTATCCTGATACCGAACAATCGACATAACCACGGTAACCGTATTACCGCGAAAAACCTGAGGGATTGCGAACTTCCCCCAAAATTGGTTGCTTCTTTGCCGTAAACGTAGAACGCGTTTTTCGGATTCTTCATCGAGTTGACGTCAATGTCGAACGCACAAGTAGCGATCACGTCATTGGTATATTTTGTGAACGCGTCTTTCAACTCCAAGATCGACTGGTCGGTGGGCAAGGAAGCGAAATAGTCGCCGTACTCTTTGGCACATTCGCGCATCAATACGAACATGGACTTCAATTTGCTGGACGTGAAGGCCGGTGTCAACATGTTCCGTACTTCTCTCCACCTTTCGTCGCACAGGGAGAAAAGATTTTTCGAGAAAAGTGGTTCTAAGTCCGGCTCGAAAATCATTTTGTGGTTTGGAAAGTGGTCGAAATTCTTCACGGTGATGGATTTGATCAGGTCGAGATCTCGAATCAAGAGTATAGGCGTTTCGAACTCGAAAAAACCGATATACTTTGACTCGGGATCCAAATTGTACATTTTTTCTACGCCCTCGGCAAACGGCAGTCGTTGAAACACCACTTCCCACATGCTTCCCAAAAACGGCATCGGTTTGGCGTATGGAATCCCACGTTTCTTGAAAAAGTCGAAGTTACGAGTGGCTCGGTAGTAGACCACTGCTAGCACGGCCAACACAGCCGCGATTATCGGCCACCAATCCATTTCCAGATTCATCATTTCGCACTTGTAGCAGGTATTTACCAGCTACAAGCAGTAGGCTATACACAACGATTCTGTTTACTATCCAGAAAGTATCAGCGAGAGACTGGATAATAGTAGAAAATAATCACCGAAAACGTTAATAAAGAGGACGTTTAGCAGCAACTGCAGATGCTGTCGCGCCAGTGTGCTCGCGGTGACTGAAGACGCAGTTCGATGGTGGTCGTGTTAATCTACTGCGTCGCGTTCGCGTTGCTATCGATGAACGTACGCTGAAACATCGCTCGCAGGATTATGGTGCAGCAGTATTTTTTGTGCGAGAAGGCGCATTATAGATAATATGTATTGGGTTGCAATTCTGACAGCCGTCTAATTACGTCACTTTCGCTATTTTTTGCCATTTAGTAAACAGATAACGTTGTCATCGAACATGTGTACACGCATGCATTTTCGCGTACGTATTCGTTCTGTGGTTGCGTGGATATTATAATTTAAATAGTCGCGACAAAAAAACTGCGTATTATTCTCGGGTATTGTGTGATATTTTCTGCTTTATTTAAAATTTTCCTTGTTTTCTTCTTTCAATGAACTATCATATATAGTGATGCATATAAAATCCTACAGATTTCATGAATACGAAATAACGCGAAAATTCATCGCGAAATAATAAAACGACAGACGTTTCCGCGAAACATATAATAATCGTAATAAATAAATGCAAATTTAGTAATAGGACATTGTTTAAGAAGCTCACAGAAATATTTTTTTAATAAATCTTTATGACTTTCTTTTGTACGATAAAACTATTTCTACGTGCTATTGTGAATAAGAAAATATTAGGAAAAGATTGGGACAATGTCGGAGAAAGATAAATGTTTCTTGAAATGTTTCAAATTTTTTTAGAGGATGATTTATATATACAGGATGTTTCTTGTGGGACTCACTTCGAAAGCTGATTGTGCGCCTAAAAATAATGAAAAAAAGTCATATAAATATATGTCCTATCTGTCTTCGTTTATAATAAATTTTCTGTTTTTATTACTTTTACAAAAGATGCTCGAAATGACCATTGAAGCTTGAATTTGAAGACAGGCCTGCACGCGTCTTGTCATTAATCTGGTTACTCTCTCTATTATTCCTGGTGTTCCTCGATTTTGTCGGAAGCCTTGCTCTATTCTATTTCGTAGTATTTCAGCATGTTCAATCAATGTTGCGTATACAATAGATTTTAAATGTCCCCACAAATGAAAAACTAATGGATTCAAATCCGGAGAATGAGAAGGCCATGCAATAGGGCCTCCACGACCAATCCATTAATTTGCAAAGTGTTGATTTAAAAATTGCCTAGCTACTCGGCTAAAATGCGGCGAAGCTCCATCATGCATAAACCGCATACGTCTAATATCGACTGGAACTTCCTCTAATATTTCGTGTAAACGCGTGCTCAAAAAATCAACGTACTTTGTGCCTGTTAGATGCCCATCAAGAAAAAAAGTTCCAATTAAAAATTTATCAATTATTCCTACCCATACGTTTAAACTAAGCTGGCGTTGATGTCTTGAATGCAAAATAACATGTGGATTTTCTTCATCCCAATTATGATTATTATGAAAATTGAATATACCATCCCTGGTAAAATTAGCTTACTAGAGTTTGCTCTGTTTATAAAATTCATTATATTTCATAAACGAAGACAGATAGGGCATATATTTATATGACTTTTTTTCATTACTTTTAGGCGTACAATCAGCTCCCGAAGTGGGTCCCACAAGTTACGAAACACCCTGTATATATATATATATTTGTGACAAATTTCATTGCGGCATTTTTATGAATCGACAGTTATTCAAAAATGTCGCGAAAATTCTCGATCCGAGTCGTTTTGTTACGGCAGTCGTTGCGACGATAATAGCGAAATCCGAAACGGACTTTGTTTGTTCAACTAATGCTAGGAGTGTCATTCCTGCATGCTTCTGATGTCGATTCACCGATGCCGAGCTACACTCATTGCAATGTGCATCATAAAACTTAGGAGTCGATGCATGTGTGAAGACAGCCTTATCACCTAAATTCAGCCAAGATCCACTACTGACTCAGAAGCCAACCAAACCAATCAGCAGATCTTTTCCAAATACA